AGAACTTGCAGACCATAATCATGATTGTGGGGTTTATTAGGGAAGTAATAGGTTACAATTCAGGTTCAGGAACACTCAGGATACGCTTCTTCCTTCAGGAGAGCCTCTTCTTAGCTGTGTTTGCAGGCGCGCTTCACTCTGGCCCCGTGGCCTCTGCCCGGCTCAGGCAAGTATTACGAAACTCTTTTAGCTCCACTGGTAAGTGCCCTGAGGCACCCCACTCCGTCAGCAACCTCCTACCTGAAGCCACTCACCTGTGTCAATCCATGGGCTGGGAAGCCCACCACGCCGTCTCCTGCCGGCCTTCTGCTGGTCTCTCCTGCCAGTGTCTCCTGCTGCTGTTCTCTGCCACTGCTTCTCATTGTCTTCACTGTCACAGCTCTCTCTCTCTCTCTCTGATTATTTATTTGGTCAAATTATTAGGTTATCTGTTTTGTGGAAGGAGCCCTGGTGGTGCAGTGGTTAAGCTCTTGGCTGCTAACCAGAAGGTTGGCAGTTCAAATCCACCCAGGGTCTCTGTGGGAGAAAAGACCTGGCAATCTGCTTCCGTGAAGATGACAGCCTAGGAAACTCTATGGGGCAGTTCCATTCTGTCACACCGTGTCTCTATGAGTCAAAAATTGACTTGATGGCACCTAACAAAAACGACATCTGTTTTGTGGACTCTTAGAATTTGGAATCACTGGACAATCACAGGGACATTTTATGGATTAAACTTAAAAATGAAGGGTAAATACAAAGTAGACTATTATTTTATTAGGGGTATTTTAGTCTTGATGTGATGATACTCCCTGTTACAGGACAATAGTCAAGTAATGATCATGAATCTTAAATATGCTATGTCTGGCTTTGATACTCCTGGAAAGGGGGAAAAGGAGGAGTGTTAGCTTTTTTTTTAATATTTTATTGTGTTTTCGGTAAAGGTTTATCAGCAGTTTAGGTTGCTGTTCAACAATTTCTGTACAAATTGCTCATTGACATTGGTTACATTCTTCAGAATGCGTGAGCACTCTCATTATTTCTGTTCTGGTTTTTCCATTTCCATTAATCTAGTTTCCCTCCCACCGTGTATTCTCATCTTTG